AGGGTCCAGATTCCCACTATGGAACCAAAGGACTGCGCAAGGTGATCCACGAGTCCCCCACGACGGGAGCCAAAACCTGCTTCACGTTCTGCTACGCGGCTGGGAACAACAACGGCACCTCCGTGGAGGATGGACAAATCCCAGAGATCATCTTCTACACATAGTGCTGCTCCCAGCCCAGCCTGGACTCGACCGTCCCCCGGCACCTCCCGAACTGAATCTCTGGCTGAGTTTGACCACACCAACTGGAGCCACACTAGCCAAAGGTCTCGGTGAAATCATTTCAAAGCTCATGTCCTGCCTTGTGCTAGTGCTGCTGCTGCTCTCAGGTGCCAGTTGAGCTGGTGTCCCGCTGCCAGCCAGGCTGGTGTCCCAGTGCCAGGCGAGCTGGTGTCCCAGTCCCATTTGTAGGTTGTCTGTGGCTTGTTGTTTCTCACCTCCTGATTAACCCCTATCTAACAACGTGCGGTTTTTTTGGACTGTAATGAATGTAGATGCTTTTCCACCAGTCAGAAGCAAGGAAATGAGCGGCTCTGGTTGTGGTTTCACCTGGCAGGAGATCCCCCTGCAGACAGGCACGGGCAGGGCTGGGGGGCCCATCCTCTGCTCCAGCTCAGCAGGCGAGGCCAGACCACTGGGGCTCGGCCAGCCCGTGCCCAGCACCTCCCTCCCTCCCTCCCTGCAGCCTCAGCACTCACAGCCAGCTTCAAAACTTGGGGGAAGTGGCCTCTTCCCTGAGGCTTTGCTGTTCCAGCACTACATGATCCTGAGGGAGACCTCAAACCCACCCCCCGCCGGAGGGTCCGCGGCGCTTTCCTGCCCTTCTCCCCGGTCTGTGACAATCAGTTGGTGACAGCGAGGTGACCTCCCTGTGGAGAGGGAAGGGACAGGCCCTCCTGCATCCTGAGTCCCCGTGGTGCTGCTTCCAAACCCCTGTTTCAGGCACTGGGGGGATGCTCAGCTCACCCCCGGGCAACCCCAGCACAGGGCACCTGCACTGGTCAGTACTGGTGGTTACTGGTTGTTGCTGTGCTGGTCCTTTCAGAGGGTTTGTCAGTGGAAGCAGAAGGGCACCTGCCTCACCTGCCCCCTGTTCCTGGGCATTCCTGCTGGTTCCAAGCCTTCCCTCCGTTCCTGTGCCCTGTGGGAGCAGGGAGGGGGCTGGCTGTGCCCTGCCTGGTAACTCAGCAGATGGACAGGGATGCACCGAACGGTTCAGGAGAGCGTGGAATTCTCCCACCCAGAGCCTGTGGAGGGCAGGCCCAGGAGGGAGATGCAGCACTCACAACATCACCTGCTGAGCTCAGTGACCTCGAGGACGCCCCTCTATGCCCGTTCAGGGCTGGCTGCTCCCCCTGGGGTGGGGAGAGGTGGGTGCTGCTCCTGGGGCTGCCTGACCAGCCCCACGGTCACTGCCTGCTGGGGGAGGCCACGGGAGGAAGCTGGAATGAAGCTCAGCTTGGCTGCAGGACTGGAACCAGCAGAGCCTGCGTGGGACTGGCTGGGGTTCCCCTCGTGGACCCCCTGCTCTGCTCCAGCACATGGAGGAGCCCTGTCACCCTCCTGCCACCGGATTCCACTGCTGGGACTCGAAACCTGCTTGTCCTTGGCTGGTGCTCCTTTGCTGGGTAACGGAATCCCCTCCTCTGGCTCAGTCCTGGGGCTGTGCCCTGTGCTGGGAACACCCTGCACCTCCTCACCTGCAGCTGCCAGAGGCGCCCAGAGCGTGTCCTGTTCTCCAGGAAAACAGTGTCTTGTCAGCCTGACTCCAGTGGGATGGTTCTGATACGGCCAGTACTGAAAAATAATAGAAAAAAAAAAAAAGAAAAAAAGAGAAAAAAAGAAAAAAAAAAAAAAAAAGAAGAAAAAACCCCAAAAACCTAAGTGGGTCCATGACTTGGTGACTGAACCTGACTCTGTGCAATGCAAACAGTGTTGTGAGGTGGATTCACAGCCCGGGCACCCTCGGGATGTAAATAAGCTGCTCCTGCTGCTGCCTCTCTCCCAAAGGTGGTGGGGACGTCACTGCTGGCACCCAGGGGGGCCCTGTTGGTGCCTCCCCAGGGGGGCTGACCTGGGTTCAGGTGGAAATGGCGGAACGATGGGATTTGAGAGAAGCAAAGCCGCGCACTCGGCTCTGGGAAGAGCAGGGTGGGGCTGGCCCTGCCCGGCCGTGGTGGTGCCCTCCCTGCTGCTCTTCCCTGGAAGCCTCTGTTCTCTTCTGTTACCCAAACTCTCATCCCAAATCCCACCTTCCTGCCCTCCCCCCACGGGGCAGGTCTGGCAGTGGAGGGAGAGGAGTCAAACTCTGAACGACACCCGAGCAATTTCTTGTTCTTAACAGCTTTTCCCGCAGTTTGATGCAATTCTGGCTTTTTGTAGATAGATGAATGTAATTCCTTGTTGGACATGCCTGTTCCCAAAAGTATGAGCCATCCTGTTGTACCACGTCACCTTCCGAGCGGGGCGGGGCCGTCCCCTCCGTGCTCTCGATGAATGTATCCGACGCTCTCGTTCCGTGTTCACACTCTGCTTCTGGCCAGCTTTGTGATTTGTAAATAGGAAACAATAAAGACGCCCAGGTTGTCTTTACGAGGTTTCTGTCTGATCTGAGGAGAGTTTGGTGGCTGCTGGAAGGTCAGAGGGAAGGAAGGTGGAGGGGGCAATCTGTGCTGAGCTGGCTCCCCCCGCCCTTCTCCCCCAGCCCAGGGTGGGGGTCTGTGGCTTCCCCCTCCATGGGGTGTGGGATGAGCCGGATCCTTGGGCATCCCAAAGATGGGGGAGCCCAGACCCTGTGGGGACGAGGCCCTGGTGTTTGTCCAGGGGAGGGAGCAGGATGGTGCTGGGTGGGCGCTCTCTGGTCTGTTTTAGGACTGAATTTCTTTAATTGAAAGGTTTGGACAATTAAATGCACTGAAAGCTGCCTCAGCCTTTGTAGGGGCCAGCCCGGGTGTGGGGGTGAAGGGCTGCTCCCTGCCATGGGATTCCCAGCAGGGAGAGGCTGCGGGAGCAGGGATGAGGGCTGGGAGGGAGCCTGGGCAGGGGCAGGCCGGATTCGCTCCCTGATCCCACCTCTCAGCCTTTCCTCCTGCTGCCTCACAGGAGAGAAGAGATGGATCTTCAGCTCCACAGGGTTCAGCAGCAGGAAAGGCCCACGGGCAGGGGACAAGGAACCCACCCCACCCCATCAAGCACAGAACGCAGAAGCGTTGGGTTTTAAAGATTTTTTTTTTATTATCATTTTTTGCTTTTATTAAAAAAAAAGCCCCTAAATTCTATGGCTTCCAGGAAGCATCAGAGAAATTGAAATGCCGTTTCTGTACACTTGGTTTTGTTTTTTTTTCTTTTTTTTTTTTCTTTTTTTTTTTTAAAGCAGTAACTAAACTCGCAATGGAACAAACGCTCTCACGTACAATCGCAGTATTTGGACTCCTCGCTGGAAGGACAGAGAGTCCCGGGCTCGGGCCGGGGACGGAGCCGGGCACACCGGGAATACCGGGAATACCGGGAACACGGAGCCGGGAACACCCCCAAGGCCGCGGCCCTTCCCCTCCGCGGCTCCTCTTCGGGCTCCGCCGGGGCTGCTCCGAGCCGACGTGCTGAGAAGGGGCCACTTCCAGTGAAAATTTAAGGCGATTTTTTTTTTTTTTAAAGATTTGTTTGTTTGTTCGCCTCGCTGGGGACACGAAGGCAAACGTTGCACGTCCCCTCCCCGCCGTGGCCAGAGACACATCAGCAGCTGGGGCTGCCCTGCCCGGAGGAGCCAAAGCCGGGCTTTTGACATCCCGAATTTAGGACCGAGAGGGGCCCCGGCGCAGTTCCCTCCCCAGGGCCCCCGTGGGAGCCCCCCGTGCCCCCCCAGCCCCCCCCCGAGATGGTCAGTTTGGACAAATGTTTCGAAGCAGCCACAGATGGTCCCGTCCCTCCCCCGCCCCCCCAGCACAGCCTCAGCCCCTCTCTGGGGGCAGAACAACAGGGTTTTGGTAAAGATAAGTGTGTGTCCCCCCCAAAATGTGTCACAATCAATACACACGACAGCGCACGGGGTCAGTCACGTGGGGAGCTGCGGTGCCCTGGGGGTGGTGAGGAGCACGGGGGGGTGTGGGGGGTGTGTGTGTGTGTCAGTTCCAAAAACTCCAGTTCCTCCCCGCCGGGGGCAGGCTGGGCCCTGGCACCGGTGCAGGATTCCGTGGTGGGAGGATGCCACGGCAGGAGGATGCCACGGTGAGGGAATTCCACGCTGGCAGAGCCGGTCCACCCCGCTGCCCTTCACCGCCCCGCGCTCGCCACGTGCCTCCAGCCCCAAACGTGGGGCTCGGACCGTGAAAAGCAGCGCTGCCCCTGCCCACACCTCCGACATCCAGCCCCAGGACACGGCAGCGCCACACGCGAGGCTGCTCCGCTGCCCCTCCCTGCTCTGCCACCGCCATTCATGGGTCCCTTTGGTCTCGGCCGTCCCTGTCCCTGTGTCCCCCCCGGCCCCCGGGAGTCTCCGACCCGCTCCCGGAGGGCCCGGACGGCGCCTGTATTGCTCACAAAAGTGCATCGTAAATGAACTGTAAACGCGTTTCCTCTCCCCGCCCCGCGGCCCCGGCTCCCCTCGCCGGGCGGAGCCCGAACCGCTGTCACCGACGGCCTGACCGAGGGGGGACCCGGCGGGGGGCGCGGGGCGGGGGCCCGAGGGAAGAGCAGAATTCGGTAACACTGAAGATGACGGTCAAAGACTGACGACTCAGCACTCTGCACCGAGACTCACTTTAAATTAACTTAAGAGACAAAGAAGCAACAGAAAAAAAAAAAATATTCCTCCTTAGCCCACTGCTCTCGAAATTGTCTTCGTCTTCTTCTGACAGCGACGGGTCAGAGTCTGTAGTTGATCCCCATTTCGGACTAGTTATAGACTCAAAACAAGTGACGCCGTGGATTTGTTTCGGTTTCCTTTTTTTTTCTTTCTTCTTCTTTTTTTTTTTTTTTTTCTGTTTGACGGACGCAGGAACTTCAGCGAAGTTGGGCTTGGTTCGAGTAAACGGCCACGCGCCGGGCGGGTGGCGGAGGAAAGGACAAGCAGTTTGGGGAGGCCCCGCTCCCCAGCTGCGCGTGGGGCGCTGGGGGAGCCCGTCCGGCCCGGCCCCCCCGTCCCCGTCCGGCCCGAGGGGCCGCGGGCTCCGCGGGTCAACATCCAGCCACGGCCAGAGGGAGAGGAGCCGTCGCGGCTCCGCCCGGCCCCGGCTCACTTGCGACGCTTGGTGGTTTTCCTCTTCCTTCTCTTGAAGAAACAGCAGCACCTGGGGACAGAGGGACCCGTCAGAGCCTGGGTCGGGCACCCCCATGGTCAGGGGGCACAGGGACCCCTCGGTGCCTCGGTGAGACCCCCACGTGGGCAGAGCTGCGTGGCAGGGGCTGGACCGGGGACACCACGATGGCCACGGCAAGTGACACACCTTTCACAGCAAGTGGCACCAAGCAGGGGAATGACACTGGCCACGGCATCCAGTGCCAGCCATGAGGGCCAGAGCCAGGGGGCTCCAGACAAGGAGCAGCCGGATCTGTGCATCCCCTCTGTGCACGAGCCAGGTGGGAAGGGCCGGGTGGGGTGGCCCTGCAGGGACACCCCTCGGGGGTGACAGGGGACAGCCGGGCTGTTCCTCCCCGCAGGGCACAGGACAGGGCACAGGACAGGGCACAGGACAGGGCACAGGACAGGGCACCGCGGGGCAGCCGCCGAACCCGCTCCCAGCGCGGCCCCGGGGAGGGGCAGCGGGGCTGGGCCTTACTTTGTATCGTCTGTCACCTCCACCTCGGTGGGGGCTGTGATGGGGGCGTTCGAGTGTCCTGCCGTCGGGTCGTCTGTGTTCAGCTCTCCGTTAGTGGAGCTCATCACCTGGGGACAGACGGGAGTCAGCGGGGGCAGCCCGGGATCCACAGCCCCGTCCCCTCCCCGCGGCGGGGGGGCAGCCCAGCGGACCCCCGGGCTCTCCCCAGGAGCACCGAGGTCCCTGCAGGCACAGGATGGTGCCCTGGCCCAGAGCACAGAGCTCAGTCTCGGTGCTGAGCCCTCCCCGCAGCACCAACACGGAGAGCTCCGGTCCCAGCGCCTCCGGGAGGATCCCGGCTCGCATCCCACCGGGAGAGGGGCTTGCCGGCAGCTCCTTGTGCAGGAGACACAGCCCGGGGAAGCCGAGAGCTCCAAGGACACCTTCCCACGGCGGAGCAACCGGACACGGTTCCTGCTCCCCGGCCCCGAGACCAGGCACCGCCGGGCCTGCGGGACCCAGCCCAGCGCCCACCCCGAGGGGTCCTGAGCTCCTGCCGCTGCCAGGGCAGCAGGGGCGGCAGAGTGCCAGGCTCGGGGGGACATCCGAGCCACCAAAGCGAGGACAGGGCCGGCACAGGCAACTGGGAGGGGCCCGAACGCCCTTCCTGCGCCCGCTGCCCGCAGGCAAAGCCAGGAGCTCCCTGGGGATGCACAGGGAGGCTCCCCAAGCGGCTCGGCCCCACTGAGGAGCCTCAGCCTCCCCCAGACCCACGGAGGAGCTGCCACCCTACAGCCAGTGCCCAGCCAGCGGGGCCACGTCAGGATACAGCCCCCCAAACCAGCCCGGAGACCCCCGAGCGTGTCCCCTCCTTCCCCGCAGCGCCGGGCGCAGGCGGAGCTCGGCAAGAGGGTTTGCGGGGCGGGAGCAGCGGAGGGGAGGGACAGGAGGGACAGGAGGAGCCGGGTAGAGCTCGAGAGGGGCACTCCCTCGGCTCCCCCCCGGCCTGCCCGGCCCCGCGGCGGCAGGAGGGGCCCAGCCGAACCAGCACCATCACCGCGGAGCAGCAGGAACGAGCGACAGCGGCGGGGACGGACGCAGAGACGGAGGGAGCAGCGCAGGCCCGGCCGGGAGGACCCGGCACATGGATGTCCCACCATCCATGCGGGAATGGGCCCCCAGGCCCGGGGGGGCAGAGCGGCAGCGGGCGGGAGGCTGCGAGGGCGGAGAGCGCGGGGCTGACGGTGCCAGTGCGGGACGGAGGCGGGGACACACGGCCAGGGAAGGGAAGAGAAGCAGGGTCGGAGCCGGCGCTCCGGTCAGGGAGGTGCCCTGCTCGTCGGGCACTGCTGGGACGAGCGGCACTGAGGGCAGAGCGATGCCCACCCAGCTGCCACATTGCCGTGTGGCACAGAGCCAGCTCTCCATCCGTCCATCCATCCACCCACCCATCCATCTCCAACTGCCCTCCCAGTCCCCTCAGCAGCACCAAGGGAGCCTGGCAGCCCCCGGGAAGCAGCACCAGCCTCGTCTGCGAGCCGTGACCGTCACGTCACACACCGGGGACAGGCAGCACGTGCTGCAGCCGAGGCAGGAGCCCGGGACGAGGCAGGAGCCCGGGACGAGGCGTGGCCCCGGGGCGGGGGAGCGGGGCTGATCCCGGGTGGCTCCGCTCCCTCCCGCGCCCGCCCCTGCCCTCGGCGCGTGGTTTATGTACCTGGACGGACCCCCCGAGCCTGCCGGCTGCCAGGTGAGCTCCCACAGGCTCCTCGGCAGGCTGCCCACCGGCCTGAGGATCCCACAACTCCGTCCCCTCGGGCGGCTGCTCGCGACAGGCAGGAGGAACAGAATGAAAAGAAAACAAAAGAAAAAGAGGAAGAATGGGGAAGAGAAGGGAGGAGTGGAGGAGAAAGGGATGGGAACAGTGGCAAAAAGGGAGTCGAGAAAATAAGACATGCAAAAGCAAAACCATGACCGGAGCAGATCGGGTTTGTGGTTGCGGAGGGTGCTCGGTGCAGCTCCCAGAGCGGGGACACCGGGGGCTGTGTCCCCCTGCCACCCACACACCCCCCTCACAGCCGCCCCCAGGCAGGGTGGAGCAGGGCCAGCCCCGGGCCGGGCTGGTGGCCGTGTTTGGGAGCAGGCTGGGGTGGCAGAGCCGGGCCCAGACGGTGCCACAGCCGCTCTCCATGTCCCCAGGACGACGCGGAGCCTGGTGGGGCCGGTGTGGAGCAAACGCTGCTGCTCCTCCAGGGCAGGGGATGCTCAGCTGTTCCCACAGCCAAGCTCTCCCCTGGTGAGCAGGGCACGGCCTCAAGGCTCTAGGGACACCCTGTGTCCCCAGGCTGGGCACTGCTCCCATGCTCCAGGAGCTCTGTGCTCTTCCCACTGCTCTGGAGAAGGGATGCTGAACACGGTGCTGGACAGAGCAGACCCTGCTGGGAGCAAGTTCCCAGGAATGAGCCAGAGCTGATCTGAAGATGTTTCTCTCTCCCAGCCCCTGGGCCAGTGAGAGCCAGGGCTGTGCCAGGCTCCAGGAGCAGCCAGGATGCTCCAGGGGCACTGCTGGGTGGGGAGCACAGGGAGCTGCACCCCCGGCTCCAGCCCCTTAGCAGGACCTCTGCCCCCCACGGAGGTTCAAGAGGATGAGGTTTGCTCTGGGTGCCAGCATTCCCAGAGCTGTGTGTCCTGCACCAGGGCAGGACAGGCCATGGCACTGGCCCCAGAGAAGGGCTGGGCAGTGTAGCCCCTTTCCCACAGGCAGGGAGCTGCTGGAACAGCTCTGCCCGATCCCCGCCCTGGACTGCTCCCAGCTCAGCTCCCTGTGCCCTGGGCAGAGGCAGCCTCAGCACGAGGCAAAACGCTGCCAAGCTGCCCCACCAATCCTGCCCTCGCTTGTCCCGTGTCCCCATCCCTTGTCCCGCGTCACCATCCCCTCAGTGGAAGTGGCACCACAAGCAGAGCAGAGAGTTACCCCCACAGGACACGGCACTGGGGACACAAGTCCTCAGCCTGAACCATTCCCTCACCCACCACCCTGGGCTGGCCCTGCAGCTCAGTGGCTGATGCCCAGGCCTGGCACCCCTCGGCCCTGCCACAGCCCCCACGGTGCTTCCTCCTGCTTCTGCCAGGCCACAGGGGCACTGCCCTGGGCCCCCACGAGCCACAGGCCCAGGGCTGTGCTGGGGAGCTCTCCACAGACAGCACCGGGGGAAAAGGAATGTCCAGGCTCTGCCTCCACGCCCGTGGTCGCTGTGCCCTGCTGGGCAACTCACCTGGTGTTTGGTGTGTGGCTGTGCTTTGTCTCTGTTCGGGGGCTGCACCTGCACCTCGCTGTGCATCGTGCCAATGGGCGTGGGCTGGGGACACAAGGACAATGTCAGTGCCAGCACGGAGCCCTCCCGCTGCCCTGCATCCTGATCCCACCTCTGCCCCAACACACGAAACCCCCCAGAACCAGCCCTGATCCCAGTCCCCTACCCCTGTCCCAATGGCTCCACGTGTGCTATCTGGTTGCAGCGAGCCCACGGAGGGTGCCCATGGCAGAAAATGAGGTGCCAGCCCTGCTGCTGGGGTCCCCTTGGCTCCAGCAGCCTCCCATCCCATCCCTGTGTCACATCTCCAACCTGCTGGCACTACAGCCCCAGCCTGGAGCTGGGGACTGGTGAGGATGGATGGAGCTGATCCCTCGGGCACAGGGGACGGTTGGGATCTGCATCCTCCCTGGCTGCTGGCCCTGCTGCCCCTGGGGTGCCCTGTGCCACCCAGCCCCTCCCCACTCACCAGAGGCTTCCCTGCCCAGTCGTATTCGTAGTCGAACACGTAACCGTTCCTCTCGAACAGGTCTGTGAAGAGCTTCCTCAGGTAGTCATAGTCGGGCTTCTCGAAGAAATCCAGCCGCCGCACGTAGCGCAGGTACGTGGCCATCTCCTCTGCGGGGACAGGGGGTCAGGGGCCGGGCACGGGGCTGGGGACGGGGCCAGGCAGGGCAGGGCTCTCACCTGGGAAGTTCTCACAGAGCACCTCCACCGGGGTGGCTCGTTTGGTGTCACCGATCTTCTGGTACCTCTCCTTCAGCGTGTCAGCCTGGCGGGGACATGGGGGGGTCAGCGGCACCTCCCCGGGGAGGGGCAGAAGCTCACTCCCAGGGAATTCCCTCGCCAGGGCAGGTCTGGAGGACAGCCACCAGGGAGTTCAGAAGAGCCACTGTGAGAGCAGCTGGGACTCCCCAGACAGGGGGGACACACGGACCCTACAGCTGCTCAGCACAGCGAGGGCCTGGCACGGAGCTCAGATCTGCTGGGGTGCCAACCCTCCAACACCCCGAGGGTCAAAGCTTCCCCCCCCGTGCCAGGGCAGGGCCAGGCCCACGGGCAGCAGGAGCTGGCAGTTACCTTGAGGCCTTGCCAAGGCAGGCTCCCGCGGAGGAAGTACATAAACATGTGCCCTAATGCTTCCAGGTCGTCCCTGCGGCTTTGTTCTGCACGGAGACAGAGAGACACGGGCATGTTCCCACTGCAGACACTGTCCCTGTGCCCACCCCAGGCCCTGCAGCACCCCAAACGTCCTGCCAACACCCTGAAGAGCAGGGGAGGCAGTTTGTCCCCAGCCCCACCTCTGAGAGGGCGGATCTCATTCCCTGCAGTCCCTCCCCCTCTGCCCCGAGGAAAGGCTGCCCCGTGCCCAGCACACCTTTCCCGAGGTGGGTGTTGATGCTCATGTAACGTGCCGTCCCTGTCAGGCTCTTGTGCTCTCGGTAGGGGATGTGTTTTTTGGTCTCGGGGTCAATGTACTCTTTGGCCAGGCCAAAATCGATGATGTGGATGGTGTGCTGCCGCTTGCTGCCCGGCCGCCCCACCAGGAAGTTCTCCGGCTTCACATCTCTGTAGATCAGGCTTTTGGTGTGCACATACTCCATCCGTGTGATCTGGGGCACAGGGAGGTGTCAGTGCCAGGGCACACACACCCCTGCACCCCCTCCCCTGGGCCCTGCCATCTGCCCTGCTCCCCCCGGCCTGACCATCCCCACAGGATGAAAGGAGGGGAACGTCAGATCATCCCGCCCTGGGAGACAACCCCAGCCCAGCTGCACCTTGGACACACAGGGAGGGGCTGTGTGGGGGTGAGGAGAGCCCTCCTTGACCAGGGAGGGGGTGAGGAATGGGAGGAGCAGTCTGGGATGTGCCCCCTGCAACCTGCCGGGCACTGGCTCATCCCTCCTCCCTCCATCTCCCCGTGGGGTGACCCCTGTGCCCACCCCCTCCGGGTGCCCCAGGTGTGCCAGGTGAGCCGTGCAGGGCCCCAGGGGAGGAGCAGGGGCTGAGCTCACCAGCTGGATGGCGATCATCAGGACGGTCTTGAGCGTGAAGGTGCGATCGCACAGATCAAAGAGATCTTCCAGGCTGGGTCCCAGCAGCTCCAACACCATGGCGTTGTACTTCCCGCAGGGGCCAAAGTAGTAAACCTGAGGAATTCCTTCTGCAAGACACGGAGCAGGGGCTGTGTGGGGCTGCAGCAGGGCCCTGCTGTCACAGTCACACCACTGCCAGGCAGGGACAGGGCTGCAGAGGGGGGGATGGCCCAGCACTGCCCTCCCTCCTGCTGCAGACAGCCTGGCCCTGCTCTTGCAGGCAGCTCCATCTGCACCCCTGACTCTGCTGTGGGGAGAGGGGGGGAAAGAACTAAATCAAAAGAGATCAAAGATTAGACTGTGTGTAAAACCAGCCCCTCCCCACCGAGCAGATGGGCAGGAGCTGCTCAGGACCCCACAGCTCAGCCCAGCCCCATACCTGCATTGCCGAGCTGTTTGTAGAACCGATACTCCAGGTGCAGCTGGGGGGCCCGGGACTTTATGGGTTCCTTGGAGGAGAGAAGAACAGTTAAATAGGGTGTTCAGGGGGTCTGGCTGTCAGACACCTCCTTCACGTGCTGGCAACAGCTGGAATGAGTATTTGGGATTGGGAAGAACTGGTGTAAAACAGAGATGAAGCTGCAGGGGATGATGAGAGAAAATCAGCCCATATGGGAGCCAGATCCACCCTGGCCAGAGATCTGGATGCTGGGGTAGCCATGAATGGGAGCAGGTACCAGTGGGACCACTCCAGCCTGAGGTCCCTCTGCTGCTGGCACTGGCTGAGCACAGCACAGACCATGGGCAGGGCTGGGAGAGGAGAAGCCTCAGCTCCTCCCTCCCCAGCCCCAGATCACCCCACCTGCAATGACGTGTGTTCCCAGCCTGCCCTGGATTCCGAGTGGTGAGCGGAGCTCCCCCCGCAGCCTCCCATCCATCACATCCCAACCCGCTCCCATCCATCACATCCCAACCCGCTCCCATCCATCACATCCCAACCCGCTCCCGCTCCCATCCACCACATCCCAACCCCCCCTCCAGCCTCTCCAACTCCTGGGGAGGGGCAGCATCCTCCTTCCCCGTGGCCTGAACATCACCCCCCCTCCCCAAGCACGGGGGACTCCCCCCTCTGACAGCCACTCACCAATTTGATCGCTACGTACTCGTTGGTGTAGAGGTTCTTTCCTGCAGGGAGAGACAGGAGAAGGCAATGGAAAGCAGTCCCTGCACCACCCCCACCGCAGCCCCCGAGGGCTCCCGGGCTCAAAAACATCCTGAACAGGTTCAGCAGCTCCCATAACACCTGAACAGGCCTGGAGGCACGAGTGGGAGCAGAACCCACTGTGGGGAGTTGCAACACGCCTGGTTATCACCCCCAGGTGGGGGATGTGGATTCCTCTGGGATGGGCAGGATGCTGGGGGCCGGAGCCAAGGCTGCTGGGAGGGGGCAGCATCCCAGTCCAGGCCTGCAGGGATGTGACTGGGCAAGGCAGGAACGAGGCTGGGACTTGGTGCTTCTCCCCTCATGGACAGGGGGCTCTGGGAGGGGTGGTCAGAGCCAGGGGACACTGGGCTGTGGGTGGCCAGGAGGAAGGACCCCTAGGATCACCTGGCAGGGCTGGAGTTGCTCCTGGGGATGGCACACACGTGTGTGCATGTGTGTGTGTGGATCAACCTCATCCCTGGGGATGCTCCCACCTGCCCGAGGGTGCAGGGGAAGGCAGGAGCAGATCCATGGAGTGACCCATGGAGCTGCAAAGAGGGCCAGGAGCCTGGCTCTGAGTGCCCAGGGGAGCTGAAGGGGCAGCCCCCTCGAGAGCTCCACCCTGCACTGGCCCTTTCCCACCCGTAACCCTCAGAAAGGTTGAGCTCACGGTGTCTGCACATCGTCCAGGGGTGCCCGAGAAAGGGTCACACCCGGGCAGTGTCAGTACAACCTCTGCCCAGGCCCAAAAAGGGCAGAGATGAGAGGTCTGCAGGAGCAGATCCGAGTGTTTCCTGCCGGGGAGGTGGGAGTTAACGGCAGCAGGTTCCCTTCGGAGCCGGCAGACACGCGATCCCGGCGTATCTGATGGAGCTGCATCTGTCTCCTCGGATTTTCTCCAAGCAATTTGCTTAGGGAACAAGCTCCTCCTGGCATAAGATTTCATCTGCTCTGACTGCTGCTCTCCACCTGAAGCAGCAATAAATCCTCGCCGGGTGACATCAGAGCCAGCTGCTGAGCGCCAGAGTCGGCGGCAGGATTACGGGAAGAGGGATGAATGGGAGATATTAATGGAGTGGCTCCTCCCCGGGATGGGCTCTGCAGCCAAGGAGGGGCTCAGTCCTGCTGCCTCCCTGACCCTCTCCCATCCCAGGGGACCTCTACCTTTGTCTCCTGCCTCTGCATGAACCAAATCCCTCCAGGGCGATTAGGGAGTAGGTGATTTGGGAGGGAGGAAGGTCTGGCGGGCACAGCCTGAGCCAGATCCAGGGGGTTTGGCCCATCACGGACTGGCATTTCCTGGGGAGGAGGCAGGACATCCCCCAGGCCTGTGAATGGCTCCACAGAGGAGCCCTGCAGTCCCAAAGGATGACTGCTGCCTTCAGGGAAGAATGTGCAAACAGAAAAACTCACAGCTGGGTTTTCCCTGGGTCTGAAGGGGGAAAAAATGTCAGGATACCTGCAAAAGAGCTCAGCGCAGCAGGGAGGTAGAAGGGATGGAGGCAGGAGCATCCCCAGCAGGGCTGGGATTGGAGAGCTCCACCCTGTTCATTAGGTGTCATCTGTCCTGTCCCCACCACACTGTCCCCCTCCTCCACGGCTCACTGGCACAGAAAGACACCCACAAAACTGCTCTGGGAGCTGGCAGTGTTCTCCCAGCCCCAAAAACGGGTCCAAATCACCCGATACCCCCCCTGTTCATCCCTTCCTGTAATGCCCAGGAGGCCTGGACACAGCTGATGGACAAGAGGGGCAGCAGCAAGAGCACAGACTGTCCAACCACCCCCTCTGCTTCCCTCCCCCAGCTGAAGGAAGGTGCAGAGAGCAGAACCAGCCTGTCGTAAGAACTGAAAAAAACAGGACAGAGGAAGCAAGAGAGCGAGAAGGGAGGACTGCAGGGTCCTTCCACACCAGGGAATTCCCCACTCCAGCTCCTGGAGCAGCTCCCATACCGCCCAGTGCTCACAAGGGGGTCCCTTTAACACCCAAAACGTGGAGCCAGAGGTGGCTTTGCTGTCCCCTCCGCAGGGATTTGGCAGCACTGGGCTCCAGCACCTGCTCCTGCACATCAGGGCAGCCCAAGCAGGAGCTGAGCTCTGCCCTGCTCCCCATCCAGGTGGCCTGGGGTCATGGAATCCTTCAGGAGGGAAGAGCCCTCTAAGGTCATCAAATCCAATTGTCAGCACCACCACCACGTTCACCACTAACCCATGTCTCCAAGTGCCACATCCACGCTTTCTGAACAGTTCCAGCGATGGTCCCTCCACCACTGCCCTGGGCAGCTGTGCCAGTGCTTTACAACCTTCCAGAGAAGAAATTTTCCCTAATCTCCAACCTAAACCTCTGCTGGTGCAGCTGGAGGCCGTTCCCTCTCCTCCTGTCCCTGTTCCCTGGGAGCAGAGCCTGACTCCCCCCAGCTCCCCCCTCCTGTCAGGGAGTTGCAGAGCCAGAAGGTCCCCCCTGAGCCTCCTTTTCTCCAGGCTGAGCCCCCCCAGCTCCCTCAGCTGCTCCAGACCCTTCCCAGCTCCATTCCCTTCTCTGGACACACTCCAGCCCCTCCAGGTCCAGTCCTGAGGGGAACAGTGAGCAGTAGTGACACTGCCCTGTGCCCTGCCTGGCATTGCTCCTCCATCGTGTCACCGCAGTGCCCGTGCTGGGAACCTTCGTGCCATGGCCCTGCAGCAGCAGCAGCAGCAGCAGCAGCACAGAGCTGTGCTGGGCACAGCTGGGCACTGGGACAGGAATTTGGCTTCCCCAGTGGCAGGTGATGTGAAGAGGAGCACTGGATAAGGCAGCCAGGCCAGCCCAGCACTGCCAGCGCTGCCTCAGGCCGGGCAGTGACAGCTCCTGTTAAACCAGGGGTTTAACACCATCAGAAATAAACCCAGACCTATTTCAGAGCTTGACCTTCCTCCAGAGGAGGCTCTGAACGACCAGGAGGAAAACCAAGCGTGAGCCACCAGCAAGGGTGAGCAGGAGCAGCAGGCAGGGAGTGCCTGGGCCCTTCCAGAGACACCCCTGATCCACCTGCAGTGTGTGCTGGGCCTGTGGCTCCCACCTCTGGGAGGCTGAGCCCTTGCAGGGAGGTTGGAGGGAGGATTCTGCAGGGCCCAGGACAGCAGGGTGTCATGGGCAGGGCACTGACCCACACCACAAAAGGTACCCCCTTACCCCCCGTGAGCAGCTGGGATGCTGCAGGACACACCTGAGAGCCAGAGCTCAGGAGGGCCTGGGAATGTCCCCAGCCCCTTCAGCTGGGACAGGGCCCTGGCACAGAGCAGCAGTGACCCGCTCCTGGCTCACACCCCACACACACACACACACCCACCCACCCCCGTGGTCTTCCCCTCAAATTCCTGGGTTTACTTTTAAAAATAAATTCATTTCCAGCCCTTAACTCCAAAGGAGAAGGTTCCAGGCTGCCAGCAGAAATGCAAGCAGCGGGCTGGGGGGAGAGGGGTGGCAGCAGAAAACCTGCAAAAAGCACATTTGCAGGGGTTTACTGCAGGGAGAACAGAAGCAGCAGCTGCTGCCAGGTCCCCATCCACCCCTGCACCCCACTCTGGGCTGGGGCTGCCCCGGGGCAGCTCCATGGCACGGCCTGGCCAGGGCACTGCCCTTGGGCAGGGCTCAGGAGGGGGTCAGCAGGGAGCCCCCTGCCCAGCCCAGGCAGAGCTCAGGGTGGGGGGGCCTGCACAACACCCCAGTGCTTTGGGCTCATTTGGGACCTTTCTGGTTAATGCCTGAGTGTTGCTCCTCTCCACTTGCCCCAGCCCAGCCCAAAGCACCCCTGGGCAGCTGCCTAGGGGGGGCCTGCCCCAACAAACCCTCGCTGGGAGCAGCACAAGCCTGGCCTGGGCACAGGAGCTGGCAAGGGTTGAGGGTTGCAGATCCCAGTGCCAGGGCACACGAGGCACCAGCCACACTCCTGTCACCCTGCTGTCACCAGCTTCCTGCTGGCCTGTGTTTCAGAGGGCAGCATCCCACCCCAGCACCGAGGTGGGCTGGCTGTGGGCAGGGGGGAGCTCAGGGGGCTGCAGGCACTGCCCAGGGATGGGATTGGAGGGGCCCAGGAGGAGCTGGGCTGGCACTGGATCACAGCTGGAAGCTGGCAGGGGGAGGGACAGGCACTCAGCAGCTCGGGGTGAAGCCCCAGGACATCAGCAGGGAACAGGACACAAACCTGCCCCCCTGCCCCAGAGGAATGGGGCTGCTCCAGTGAGGAACTGGCCAGCAGTGCTGTTGGGCTGGGGCAGGGCCTGGCACCACGTCTGTGCCTTGCCCAGGCTGCCAAGGCCAGCGGGACCGTGGAGAGGCAGGATCCACAGCACAGCCCTGGCAGCCCCAGCTCCCGCACACGTCATTTCCCTTCTGGCTTCCCACAAGTGCCTTATGCCATTTTTATTTTTAATATTTAATCTTTAGACAAACCACTTTAGGTTTTGGACACCCCTGTGCCCAGGAGGACACTTGTCTCGACCAGGAGCAGCTGAGCTGAGGCATCGTAAGGACAGACCCCCACGTGCCTCTCAGGGTGGTGGGGAAATTGGGCAAAGTGGCACCTTGTTTTAGGAAGACAACATCACCTTCCTCCATCCCCACTGCTGGGAGCTGCAGGAGTCACCTCCATGTGGGTTTCTGCAAGATCTCCTGGTTTTCGGTAAGAAAGGAAAAAAAGTCCAGAGAAGATCTGGGAGCTTTTCAACACTGAGCCACAGTTTGGCCTCTAAGCCCAGCCTGCCCTGAGGACCAAATCCTCCGTTCCCAGGGGAAAACTGAGTGCCCAGCAACAGCATCCCTGCTCATCACAGCAGGATCCCTCTGGTCCCTCGCCATTCCTCTGCAGCTGCAGGAATCCCTGCTCCCTGTGAAGCCCTGGAAGCACTGCTGAGCCCTGCTGCAGAGGCAGGCACACCTACGGAAGGGAGATGTGATTTTAGGAGGAGAGCCACATAGCTGTGGCTTCCCCTGCCGCGAGCAGATCCTGTGCTCAGGCCTGCCCCACGTTACGGCCAGGCCCTGCAGGGTGTGCCAGGGCAGGGAGACCACGTGAAGGGAACTGGAAGCTTCTCTTGCTGGTGGCAAGGACAAACCCTCGCTGTGAGATCGACCGCTGCGGTGCCCGGAGCGAGAGAGCTCCCTGCTTGTCCCTCCAGCCAGGAGCAAACCCAGCCCAACTGCTCCCAGGGCCCTGCAGAGGCTCTGCTGGGAGCAGCACAACTGCCACTTCCACAGACAGCCCTCAGATCCCTGGGACACTCCTGTCCCCTCGGTGGAAACGAGGGAGGCCAAGGTAGGGGGGGGGTGTCACAAAGCAACAGCCACAGCTCCAGCCTCCTGCCCAGAGCAGGATCCTGGAAGAGAGCTCAGACCCACACATCCACCGGGGGATGCTCGCTGGCTAGCAGGGAGAAAAGAGGTGGAAGGACACAGGTAGACCCTGCAGGGCTCAGAGCCCTCGATCCACCCCCTCCCTGCTGGCTGTGCAGGGACTGAAAGGAGCAGCAAAGTTCCCAAGCACCTCTCCTTCCACAAGCCTTCCACAAGGTCTGGAGGAAGGCTCAGAGCTCCTCACAAAGCCACAGGAGAGATGGATGCTCCTGTGTGGAACAGGGGAACCCCCTGGCTGGATTTTAAAGAGGGCATTTCCCCAGCTCTGCAGTCAGGGGTGATCCCGTGGGGACATTCGGGGACAGGCCTGGCCCCATCTGCCCAGCCAGGGCTCCTCCCGCCCAGGGGGGCACAGTCAGGGCAGGTTTAGCTCAGAGCTCGGCTTGGGGAGGCCCTGCTTAAAATACCACAGAGCAACAAGGCCTGTGGCTGTCCCAGGACTGGCTCTCTGCCCCTTCCCAAAGCGCTCACAGCCGAGGACAAGGCTGGGGCTGGCAGGGACTCCATCCACACATCCAGTGTGCATTCCTGGAGACACCCAGGCTGTGCTGAGCAGCGGTGCCTGGCACTGCCAGGCCTCTCCCAGCTGCCTGATGCCAAGTGAAGGGTTAACAGCTCGCTCAAAGCCTCCTGGGACATTCCCAGTCGTGGGAGAGGAGCAACCTCCCCACCCTCCAAACTGGCGTTTGCTTGAGGAGTTTCCTGATAAACTCGGTTCAAAATGGAAAGTGACCACAGAAGGTGCTTGGGTTTCATTCCTCCTTTCCTCTCCCCTGCACAGAGTTTTAGGAGAGTCTCCCAACCAGCTGCAACAACTGGAGAATTCACCCAGGATAAAACACTGACCCTGCATCCCAGAGGTTTGTCCCAGCACAGTGAACACCCTCAGGCCCCCACGGGCTCCATCCCCTCTCCTGGGCACAGTGGGAGGGCAGCACCCTGGGCACAAGCAGGGGTGAGATCTGGTGAGCACACAGTGGTATCCCCTAAAACATTCCTCACGGAGCGCTGCTGCATTTGGGGGGGACACCCAGCCCAGTGTGGGCCACCACCAACAGACAGGGCCGAACTGTAACACTCTCCCTGACAAACCCAGAGGGTGACAGGCACAGGGAGGAGACGGGAACACCTCTGTGGTCAGTGCTTTGGGCTGGGTCGGGCCTTGGAAGGTCAAGCCCGGCGTGAAGGAGGAGGCTCTGCAGGAACAAGGGCAGCGTCAGCACCCCGGTGCCAGCGACCACAGCTCCTCCCTCCTGCCAGCAGCAGGAGCAGGGTGCCAGGGCAGTGCCAACCCCAGCAGGTACAGCGAGGACAAACACGACCCTTCTCACCTAGACGGAGCTCCCCGAAATTGCCGCATCCGATCTTCTTGCCGACGCGGAAGTTGGGACCCACCATTAAGACTCCCGAGTTGGTTCCAGCGCCCCGGCTTCCATGACCGCTCCTTCCTCCACCTGTCTTGGACATCCTTTTACCTTCCTCCAGCTCCCCTTTCCCTCCTCTCTTATCAAAATCCATAAGTTTGTGATACCCCGGCCTCTCCACGGTTACGCTGCTGCCATACAAATCCCAGAGCTGCCGAAAATGGGTGGGCGAGGAGGACACAAGCAGGGCTCTTCCTGGTTAATACACCATCCCGGGGGGCGGGGGGAGGGCGGGGGGGCGGAGAAGGAGGGCGAGGCGGCCACCCAAGGGTGCTGGGCTACTGAAATGTTAGTGCTTCCCGAGGTCCCGCCGGGACTGTCATCGTCGCCGCTCACAGGGAGGTCTTTGGTGGAGAGAACATCCTGTGGAGAGGGTGCTCCCAGCGCGGCTCCTCGGGCTCCCAGCTGTGGAAAAGGAGAGGGAGATGCATCAGTGAGAGGAGCCCAGGGGTTGTGGGCTCCAGGTTCCCGCCCCCAGCCCTGCAGGGCCCCTCCAGCACCGCAGAGAATTCCCATGATGATGACAACTGAGGGGTGGGAGGAGCTGGGAGAGGTTATCAGGTCCATCACAAGGTCCCTGGTGCTTATAAATAAATAAATAAATAAATAAATAAATAAATAAATAAAACCCTGGCAGTGGTTGGAGGTGAAATGCTTGATGAGCATCTTCCTGTCAGAGCCAGTTGGGAGTGACGTGGGGACAAGAGTGTCCCCATGGGGAGGGGCTGATGGGAGACCTTTGGAGGCACCAGCCCAGGCACTCTCCAGGCTAGGGACTCCAGGAGCCCCCAGGAGCAGAGGACACACGTAAATCCTGTGTTATGGGGCCCACATCAGGCCTGGGACTTCCCAGGAAGGGAAAAGAGGATGTTCACCTGCCTGGGACAGTCCCTGTGGGTCCAGAGGCCACGACAAGCTGAGTCAGAGCACTTCCCCCCAGCACCAGCCCCCGCTGTGGTGGGCTGGGACCTTCCTGCCAGTGACCCTGCCCAGGATGCAGCGGGTTTCTGTGGAATGACCACAGTCTGGACCCAACAGGCTGGGCCAAACAGGAACCCAGGACTCACTAACACCCTGCCCCCTTCCCTGGAGAGCCCCTGGTCTCCCTCCTGCCTCCTCCTCTGCTCTTACCACCCAACCTGGATGTTTGGGCTGCTGGCAGCCAGCTGGGCAGGTACCCGTGTGACACTCACTGGGAGCACCCGCTGGCCCTGGGAGCTTGTCCACACCCTGGGAGGGCACTGAGAGAGACACAGACCCCACCCCTCACACACACTAATTTCCCCTCACACCATTCACCACCTTCGGTTTTGCTCCCAGCTTGACCCTCGGCAGCCTCCCCACCCCTCCTTGTCCTCCCTCCCAGCCCCACTCCCTCCCTCACCACCTTCCTCCGCTCCTCTCTGGGCTCCTGTGACGCCACTAAAACCCCCCACGATGCCCCCCGAGAGCCCTCAGTGCCTCAGCCTCATGTTAACCCCAGGGGTTATCCAAGCAAACCCCCGCCCCTCCAGTGTCAGCTCCAGGAAATGAGCACACTGATGCTTGGCCATACCCTGTAAAACTTTTTACTGGCTCTCAATAGCTATTAATAACAACAACAACAAAAAAGCTTCTTGTGCTAAAGGGGGCGTGGGGGAAAGACGACACCAAAGCCAGAGCTCAGCAGGGGGAAGGACCGGCCGTGTGAGGGTCCATGGGAGCTGCTCCCAGAGACTGCCCCCCATTCCCAGCCCTCTCCTGACACCAAATCCTCCTCAGGGCCCACCACGCTCTCCAGGAGGGGCTGGAGCTGCAGGCTCTGCAGGGGCAGAGTGATGGGGCCATCCTGCCTGTTCACGGACAGGGAAACAGGGAGCCCTGTCCTTCCCCGCACACTCCAGCACCTCAGGAGCATCCCCAGAGCGCGGCAGGCCAACCCCCGGGGGACCACCCTGCTGCCCGGCCAAGCTCTGCCCGGCCATTCCCTTCCCCCTTCCCGCCCGTGCCAGCAGGAAGCGGGGTGGGAGCGGCAGGAGCGGGGTTGGGAGCGGCAGGAGCGAGTGGGGGCTTCCCCGCGCTTTGTTCTGCCCCGGGCGGGCTCGCACGGCCCCACACGTGACATCCTGCCCATTCTCTGCTCCCACGAGGGTTTCCGCCGCGGGCTCGGCACTCTGCGGTGCACAAACCCCCCCCGGCCCATCTCCCAAGCCCCGCGGGAGGACACCGGGAGTTGTTCCCGCACCCATTTCACAGCTCTCTCTCCCCGGCTGTGGGAGGGGCAGGCACAGCCCAGGCTGCTCCGCGAGTTCGGGGCTCGAATCCGACCCCCGTGCCCAGTCCTGGGGCGTTCCTGGACGGGCTGTTGGCACAGGGAGAGCCCTGGGAGCGCCGGCGCTGGGGGTTAAGTGATTTGAAGAGCTCCGGGCCGGCCTCTGCACGGGGATGTCGGACAAGGAGGTGAGGCAGAAGGGGAGAGTTAAATCCCGTTTAAATCCCGTTTCCTGCGAGCTCCGGGAGGCTGTGCCCTCCTCCCCCGGCAGCCGAGACCGGCCCTGGCAACAGCCCAGTCTGAGGCAGCTGGGCCAGGTTAACATCCAGCAAGGCCGCAGCTCAGATTCCCCCCCCTGCAATGCCCCCTTCCCCAAATCCAGCGGTGAGAGCAGCAGGACGTCACTGAACCGCATCCCAGTGAGTCAGGCAAGTGATGCTCCCTCAGCCTCTGCCCACCAGCGTCTCCACGGGTGAGCAAGGGCTGGGAGGGATCTATTTTAACACCCCAAGGAGACACAGTGGCTCCCCGGGCCTCGGGACAAAAGCAGGACCCACCTCTGTGCGGTGTCTGCGACTGCTCAGGTTTTCCACCCCATGCCATAAAGGGATCTCTGGCCTTTAAAACTGAGAGCAGCCTAATTAGGAACAGAAACTTTTGGGAAAATCCCAGGACTCCCAAGAGCTCTGGAGCAAACAAAACCCGTGTTTGTTAAAACACGGCAGCCTCTGGATGAGTAACGGGGACCCAGACCCGCCCCGTCCTCCCCCATTGGGAAGATGCCCCGGATAAATCTGATGTCACCTCGTTCCGTTTTGCACAGGAATCCTCACCCAGAAGGTCAGACCGAGGCAAAGCAGCCTCAGGAAAGCACCCTCCACGCTGGATTTTTTGGCCTGGGATCAAATCTGATGCAAGACGAGACTAAGAAAACTTGTTTCTCTCTTTGGGAGGGAGGGGGACGAATAAGGAAAAAAAAAAAAAAAGAAAAAAAACCACCAAAAAAACACAAACCCTGAATTGGCCTGAAGTTTGGCAGAAGAAATTCCAAAGCAAGCTGTGGTCTTAAAGCAAATAAGCACTGCCCTGGGGTGTTTGCAGGGCCAGTGCTCCCAGCCAGGATCCTGCAAGGCAAACAAACTGCAGGCAAGTGCAAGGGGGCTTCAGCACCCCCGAAACAGAACCCCAGGAATGCTGCAAGTGCCACGAAGGGGGAAAACCCACACCCCCTTCAGAAACCCAAAGAGGGGGTTTTTGTTGAAATCCCGGCTTCTTTTTCTTTGCCATCTGGTTTGGAGCGGTTCAGAGCCGCTCCAGCCGCATTTACAAGCTTTTCCCTGCGGATATGAAGGTGAGAAAAACGGATTGGGGGCTGGGAGGAGTCACTGGTTGTAGTTTTTTTCCTTAAAAGAAGAAAAAGCTGCAACGCTAGTGCTACCCCTTGTCTCAGTCCAAAATATCAAGGCTCAGTTAAGTTCCTGCCCGAATCTGCAAGTCCAAAACGCCGAAAATTTGTCTTTTTAAAAATCCCTTTTCCTGCAGAGTGAAACCTCCTCGTGGCTGCCGAGGAGGGACTCGCACAAACCATCTGGGGCACATTGTTCTGGGCCCTTTGTACACACACACCATGTTCCTGCCTGAACGAGGTTACAGCTAAAAAGGGGGCAAGACAAAAGAGGGGAAGGAGGAGAGGAAAAAACAGCGGCCCAGAGCAGGGAAATGGCTGGGGAAGGTCAGGGGGCAGGGCCGTGGCGCTCCTCGGAACAGAGCCCGGGTGTCCTGGGGCAGCCCTGGCTGGGCCAACGCTGCTCCCTCCCTGCCACAGTCCTGATCCCCACAAACCTCGGGGATGGCTCCGTGGAGCTGGTTCCCCCTCTGGGCAGGGAAACGCAGCCGCTTCCAGATGAGAGGGAAGGGAAAGCTGCTTGAGAGCACAAAAGAGAGAAGCCCCTGACACTCCGCAGCTCCAAGGACAGATCACCGCCAATCAGAGGCTAAAAATAATCCCAAACACCCCAGTGATGACCCATCAGCCGGCTCCCAGTGCAGAAATCCAGACCAAAAAGCAACCGGTGGCCTCGCACAGCTGGAACCGAATCCCAGTAAATTTCAGAAGCTGAGGAGGCCGATGAAGTCTGAGCTTCCAGGGGAGATCAAAAGTCTTAAAACAAAGCACAGCCTTAAAAGCTCCTCGGTGTGAAGCTGCAGCCAGCCCAGGTGGTGCCTGCGAGGGGCTGGAGTTGAACAGTCTGTACCTGAGCTGCAGTGCTGAGAGCCAGCCCCGCTCCTGAGGGGACAGGGACAGCTGTGCCCCCACACAGAGCTCTCCCAAAACGAGGGGCCAGGCAAAGCCTCACCAGACTTCCCTGTAATGGCACAGCACTCGTGGCTGGGTCACCTCACGCTTCCCATCCAGCAGCACCCCCAAGTCCTTCCCTGCAGGGTTGCTCTCAGTCCCTTTTTATCCAGCCCGTTTCCATGCTTGGGATGGCCCCGACTCAAGTGCAGGACCTTGCCCTTGGCCTTGTTGAATTTCCCGAGGGTCTCACGATCCCAGCCTGTCCAGGGCCCTCTGGATGCCCCATCCCTTCCCACACCACACACCTTGGTGCTGATGGGCAAACTTGCTGAGGGTTTGGGATTTTTGGAGGAAACAAGACAGTGGTTAGGAGGGTTTTTGTTGTTTTAAACAAGGAGTCCTTCCCAGACTCGGACTTGGGGCAGTTCACAGCAGCCTTTTGCTTGGGCAGCAGGAGAGTTGTAAGTTGGAAGCATGAGCTCCTCTCCCTGCTTTTGCTGATCCAACAGGTTGCAGAGGGATTTCCTGAGCTTCCTTCACCCTGGGACACACACCTCTCCTCCGAGCCAGGACAGCAGCTCACCATCAGCTCCTTCCCACAGCTGACACGTTGGAGAGGCTGGGACACATCCACTGGAGAAAACTCATCCTGGTCCCTGCACAGGGAAGAATCCCTTGTGCATGGAGAGGCAGCACTCGGAGCTCCCTCCACCTGGGACCTCCACCAGCGACAGCTCCAGTCACGGGAGAGCCAGAGCAAACCTCCTTATGGCAAAGGCAGACTGGCTTGTTCTGAGCCCATTTCCTCCCCATCCCTCAAGAAAAGAGGAGATTCAGTGCTCTGACTGAGGAGCT